TTTTCTTAAATCGAAAGTAGCAGTCAAGACCAGAAAATATTGTTAGTGAATCTTCCTAATTAGTTTTGATATCTGGACTGGTATGACTTCAGGTGAACCTCTCATTGCCTTTTGCAGTATTAAGCACTACAAAAAAGTTGATGACTCTTTGGAGCTAAAGCACTGTCGTGGAGCTTGATAAGAGAACTATGTGCCCAAGATTTTAAATTTTACCATTCACTATTTAATGCAAAGCGAATCATTGGAGCATTAAAACAAGGTTTTGAAGGATTTTGCATTTTGCTTCCAACTTGTGAGACTAAGATGGTTCGGACATGTGAAGAGGAGAGACACAGGTGCCCAGTGAGGAGGTGTGAGAGGTTGGTCTTGATCGATATAGGTTGGTCAAAGAAAGCGTTCTTTGATAAACATTTTCTTAAATCGAAAGTAGCAGTCAAGACCAGAAAATATTGTTAGTAAATCTTCCTAATTAGTTTTGATATCTGGACTGGTATGACTTCAGGTGAACCTCTCATTGCCTTTTGCAGTATTAAGCACTACAAAAAAGTTGATGACTCTTTGGAGCTAAAGCACTGTCGTGGAGCGAATCACTGGAGCATTAAAACAAGGTTTTGAAGGATTTTGCATTTTCCTTCCAATTTGTGATATTAAGATGGTTCGGACATGTGAAGAGGAGAGACACAGGTGCCCAGTGAGGAGGTGCGAGAGGTTGGTCTTAGAGGGCCAATAAAGAGGTAGAGGCAAGCCGAATAAGTACTGGGGAGAGGTGATTAGGAAAGATATGGCGTTGCTCCAGGTTACTGATGACATGACCATGGATATGAAGGTGTGGTGGTTGAGAATTAGGGTAGAGGGTTAGGTAGTCGACCGTTGTCTTTTTTTTGTAACAGCAGCTTTAGTACACCACTTAGTGTCTTTATGTATTTTCGCCTTTCTGGACTTCTGCTATTACTTGTGGTTGTCTTCGCTTCGGTTTTAATTTTACTAAATAGGGATAGTTGTGTGTTTTCGCTTGATTTTTCGATTGGTTTGTTTGTCATTGGCCCATCCCTTTATCTTCCCTGAGCCGAGGGTCTACCGCAAAAACAACCTCTCTGTTTTTTTAAAGGTAGGGGTAAGGTCTGTGTATACGATACCCTTCTCAGGCACCACTTGTGGGAATACACTGGGTTTGTTTTTGTTGTTATTGCTTCCAGCTTGCGAGAGCTCTTTCAATTTATCCTTAAGGATTGCTGGTGTGAGTATTCATTATAAGTAAAGGGCATCTCGTGTTTTTCGTGTTTTCTTATAGATCAAAATTTTTCCTATGGTTTGTGCAAACATTTATACTCTACTATCTACATGCTGCATAGAAAGATTGTAAAAGTACTTTCTTTCAAACTTTACAGGCATCTCAATGATATGCCAAAGGTATTTGGTTACATGTTCAAGATAAAATTTGGAATTCTGAAAGATGTACACACCTAATTTGATTTTGTCATCTCGTTTCAGATGATATAGGCTTTTTAACTTTATATGTGCGTTCTGTGATCATTTTTGTTACATGAAATGCACGTCCTTGGTGCTTCTGTTGATCAGTAAAAATATTTTTATTTACTAAAGTAAAAGATAAAAGTTAGAATCTCTTCCAATTTTCCAATTTGATTCTTCATTTTAGGAATTGAGATTTTATTATTGGGGTATCCTAATTCAGCAACCGCAATGGAGAAGCTAATTTGATAAAAAGCAGATGGTTTCTGCAAGCTCCCTCAAGAACCTATATAAAGGATCTCTGATGTTGGTGGACCAATCTTGATGAGATAAGATAGTTTCAAACAGCCTTGACCATTTGTCAACAAATGTTTGATCAGATCATTAGCTACAGGGGCGGATTTAGGGGGCGGAAGGGGGTTCACCCGAACCCCCTTCGCCGAAAAATTACACTGTATATATATGACAATCTGTTTTTACCTCTATATATTAAGTTTTGAATCCCTTTAACACAACCCAAAAGTGTAGCTTAGTGGTCAAGGGGGTTTAAAATCTTCCTAAGGTCATAGGTTCAATACCCACTAGCTACAATTTTTTTTTTTTTAACCCCCTTTGTGGAGATCCTGCCTTCGCCACTGATTAGCTAATTAGTAAATTTTATATGATTGAGGCTTCTTAGAATATCTAACGAGCATTGGACGATGCTTACTAAGATTAAAAAACAGTTTCGTCTCCTTTAGATAAAAGTTTCCCTTTCCATCCTATAGTTTGGCTTTATGGTAACAGCTTGGGCAATGCTTACCAAGACTAAAGAATTGTTCCCTCTCCTTTAGACAAAATTTTCTGTTTTCATCCTATATTAACAGCAGAAAGTAGATGTGTTGATCAAAACTTTTGGTTATGGCATAGCAGAAGCATACTGCTTCAGTTGTGTTCAATGCTAGAGGTTTTATGGCTGATGGATCAGCTTGATAGTCAAAGTCTCTGAGCAACTGGAACTTCAAATGACCAATGAAAGGGTATACCTTGTTTGTTTGCTCAGGTACATAAAGTATGTTTTAGCTCGCCTTAGTGGATAGAGTTACTCGGTACGTACATGGGGGAATAGCATGAACGTCTGCCTCATCCTATTGATTTCTACATGGGGAAGTACTTGTGCCTGAATCTCCACCCAAGAGGTGAATTGTTTTGCTGCAACTTGTAATGTAGTGTAAGTTAGAGGTGGTTTTTGTCTTTGACAAGAAAGACTTCATCAATATCCCATTGATGAAAATACTACTGTATTTTCCTTGATATCTGGGCACCGTCTCTAAATTCTGAAACTGGTTTTGGGGTTGGCGAAAGTTATAATGCTGCCAAATGAAACACAGATCCTTCCTGTGAAGGTTGTTTTTGCTTTTCTGGAACCAGTACAGAAACATGTGCATTTTACATTGCTTGCCTTGGTGTTAATTTCTCCTGTAAAGATGGGTGTGTCTCTCTTAAAAGATTGTCATTTCTTCTCTTTTTCTCTAATTATTGATTATTGATAAACCTGTGGATAAAATCAAAACATAATCACTTGTATTTTTTTTTTTTTAAAAAAGGTGCATTTGTTGCTATTCCTGATGAGATACTCTTTACACAAAAATGTTGAAGATGCGAATTGAAGCTGCAAAGCTCTTCATAAGTCATAACCATAAGTAGGCGTCTTGGTCTTTAATTGCCTCCAAGTTTTTCTTTCCCGAGCTTGTGATTCGGCAGTAAAGATCAAGAACTTATGCTAGATGGATCTTTTTAGAACCAATGTTAATTTGACCTGAAAAATAGCCCTGCGTCAGAATTTGGAAGCACGCTAAAATTCTGGCAGCGTGCTACAGATTTTGGCAGCTTGCTTTAAATTTCTGGCAGAGGCTATTTTTATAAAATTTCTTTTAACGGCATCTAAATTTAAATGGTGGTGCTAAATGATATTTGTGCTATTCGGCCGTAAAGATAGTACAAAGAGGGCTCTGTGGTAGACGCATGTCAGGAGTTCGAATCTTTGAACCAAATTTGGTATTTAAGCTGGGGAGGGGTAGAGGAATAATTCCGAGTTTGGAAATGGTAAATATTAAATTTTGAATATCTTGATTATACAAAAAAAAAAAAAAAAAAAAAAAAAAAAAAAAGAGAAAGGTAATCGGATTTTTTTTTTTTTTAAAACGGCTACAATGGGCGGCTCTGGCATTGTTACTCCCAAGCTGCTTAAAAGCATATCAAGAACAGTGCTCAAAGCACCTTCAGACTCTGGCGTCGTTAGCCAAAAAGCATAACAATAATGAGGAGATCATGTATGATTTTGTGAAAATAAAAAAGGTGTAAATAATCAAAATAGTAATTATGCATTGCTGTTTGGTACACTAGATTAAGGGTCAAATGGGGCTCAAATAGTATATTTGTATTATTTTTTTTATTAAATATATGCAGATATTAAATTTAGAATCCAGCTAATTGCTTTTAAAATTGTCGTTCTAAAATCAAGAATCCATAAAGTTGAAATTCTAGTTCCACCACTGACATAATCGAGTTCGACAATAAGGACATCATAGTGAAAACCTAAAGTCTAACTCGAGACACTCTATTTGAGTATATAGAGTTAATTTTTGTGATGAATCACAATAAGCGAAATTTAGAAGCTAATGCATTTCATGATAAATAAGGTGACATTAACAAGCCAAACTGCTAGCCTTCATAATTGAAATACATGCAGAAACAACAATACTAGGAATGCTCATATTCAATACAATAAAATCTATTTGTAGCAAATCGTATATAACGATCACCATATGGTTGGCTAATTTTTAGTTCCAAGTATGGACCCATAATAACCTTGACCAGAAACAGTACGTTTATGACATTGTTAGAGTTG